GAATTTGATACAGTGAAAATTGGTGATTTCGGTATGGCAAGAGATGTCTATTATCATGAGTACTACAGACCAGGAGGTATTTTTACAGCGTTTGGATTGATGATATTTTAGACGCCTGAATTAGCTGACTTCATCAGCTCTATAAAACTGGCGATTTCCTCAGCTGCTTTGACTTGGGCTACCTCATCTGTGATCTTGCTTTTTGTTCTCTAGCGAGATTTTATCATCACCGGTTCTTCTGACAAAAGCACCTAGCAAAAAAAAACTCACCTTTTTGAGATTTTTTTAAGTACCAAGTATTCCCGGCGCATTCCAAATACTACTAAAAACTATCAGGCCGTGATAGGGAACCTTCTAAAAATTTGCGGACAATAGAGTCTCGATTTTCGCAAAAATAAACCTCGAGTTTTGGGAGCACTTTTGAAATTTTGCAAATAGCATGGAATTTTGCAAATTTTGTTTTTTGCAATTTTGGAAAATTTTGTTTTCTGTGATTTTGTAAAAATTTTTTTTACAAAATTTTTGTAGTAATTTTGTAAAAAAAACCTCCACGGATTTCTTACACACTACATTCTTCATAATTTTACAAAGCGATTGTCTCGTTTTGGGTGGATATATGATTTATGCCAAAGGCCAAAGCCCCTTCCATATTCGCTTACGGAGGAAGATTACACTCCACGTTTGTTTATGAGAAGTTTTCATTGATAAATTCGAATCTTCCACTTTTTGCATACTCGCCAAAATGATGGTTTTTTTTTTCTAAAAATCATTTTTACATGTTCTAATTTTAAGGGAGACGACTTATGCCAGTACGTTGGTTGGCGCCGGAGTCACTGTTGGATGGTAAATTTACCCTGAAATCTGATGTTTGGTAAGTCTATTCGATGGTTGCTGTTGATTATGTTTTAGTTGAAATCAAAGAGCCGAGAATATAGAGCTAGGCCTGTGTGTGTGTTCACAGCTTCGAGATGAAGCATGATCACGCCAGATTACCCCTCCGTCAGCTCTAAATTTATGCTTTTTTCGTTTTTTGCTTCTCTCTATAGTCTTTCTCTTTTTCTTTTCAATTAAGCATTGCGACCGTCATACTGACGAGATTCTCTTGTAGTGTTGAGTTAAGACGTATATGACCTAATGGGCCGAAATGTCTTATCTCACTCTTACCTTCTCTCATACTGCCCTTTCCTGCTGCAATCCATCGCGCCTTCGCCCACTTGGGCTTCCAGGGTCAACCTGATTGCTACAATCGGGTTTCTCCATCTTTGCAGCGGTCAATCATTGCAGTTGCTTTGACCATTGCTGTATCACCTCTTGCCCAAAGAGTTTATTAGTTCAGCAGCCCTCGCCCTTTGACCATAGCATCTCCTTAAAATTTCAGCCTCCCAGCTTTTCTGGTTCCTCAGTCAGCGATTTTCTCACCAAAACTTTTCACGGGACCGTGCGTGGGACCCAGACTTTAACAGTTTTCAGGATGTTGCGTCTTGTTCCCACCAAAACTTTTCACGGAGCCGTGCGTGGTATCCAGACTTTAGCAGTTTTCAGGACATTATCCCTCGTTGTTGTATGTCGAGCATCGCGAGCACCCCTCTATGACCTCATCCTGACCTCAACAGCTGTGAGAGAGGCATATATATAGCCTCTTCCATATACATGCGTGTATACTTCTAGATAATGTAATGTTTTTTTCTCGTTGTCTCTTCTCTTCATTCTCTCATTCATCCGTTTAACCTTACCAGCATTGATTGTTATCATTTTGCATGTACAGTCTCTCAAATAGTTTGCAGCTCCCAGGTTAATCCTGGAAGGGCAGACGATGGGATGCGCGAGCAAAAAAGGACAATGAAGTTTGGGGAC